AATGGTGAGCTTGCCTTGGAATTGTTACTAACGTTCGCGAATAGGCCGCCAAAAGCAGAGGCTTTTGGGATGTTTGCCGTAGGGTTGGTCACAACAAGATGAGATTGCGTGGCTTCCTCGAGCTTTGAAATAATCTGTTTGCTGGATCTTTTGGACGAGCAGTTCACTTCGAATACCTGCGAACAAAGAAGAGGGAAGAAATCAGTTAAAATTTGGTCTTGTGAGGAAGGACCAAGTAAAGGTAGATTGGATGGAATGGAGGCGCTAATGAAGGGAAGAATAACAGGAAAGTAGACGAGGTTTCGTGAAGTCGTCTTGTCAAAGACCGTGAGCGTTAGAGGTAGAGTTGTAGGGCTTGCGTCAATCTAGCCCGCCGTCAACCAAACGCCCTGAGTTGCCAAGGATTAGACATTGAGGAAACAGGCGTTTGACAGTGTACATTAGAGAGGTTTAGCATGACGTTCACGGCAAACGACAGAAAAGATCGCGTGATCTGCTTTTTTGGAGTTTAACGTTACAGTTTCAACGCGAGAGCGGGTTAGTTTGAGGTTGCCATAATCGTGAAAAGTCGCTCTTTCAAATTGACTACCAAAAGCACAAGGTCAGGCACGAAATTCTTAAGTCATTGGTTCAGCTCTGCCGTTTGCCGTTAACGTGATGCTTTAACTCTCTATTATATATTTGAGGAGAATTGTTTTAACAATTCTTAAAAAGAGCTCATTCGTTACCCCGAATGTAACGCATTTGGTGTTGGATGTCAAGGCGTGCACGTGGGGTGGTTTCAGAACCCCTCTTTCTATTTTGCACAAAGTCTGATTGTGTAACAACATTTTCGGAGAGTCCAACAGTTTGTTTGGCATGAATCCAAAACAAAACTCGTGCAATCTTTCAGTCAATCTCCTCCTTCAATCTTGAAATCACAAAACGAACTGGACAACCCAACCCCTGTGTACGTATAATATCTAGTAGGGCATTTTCCAATTTCCCGTCAGTAATTAGAATTAAAGCACGTGAATTCTTGACAAACATGTACAACCACCAATCGACGACCGAACATAAACCCACCTTGTATCCTAACTCCTTTGCGCATGCGTAAACGGTAGCAGTTTTTCCGGAACCACGTGGACCCACAACAAGCATTGCACTGGACAGTCCAGAATCCTCGCTATCGCTGTCCTCAGAATCTTCGTCACTGAGATGAAAATCAGAGTCATACTCCTCCTCACGCCATTCAGGATTGGACTTCTTCCCTTGCTTATCTTTATTCTTTTGCTTCGCGAGAAGTCTGCGATAAAGCAATGGTCACTCGATTAGTTGTAGGATTACTTTAAAATTGGGTTTTCAATTAACGTGTTACAATAGACTTCTGAAGCTTTTAAGTCACCTACGTGATTTGCAATGCATCGTAGGATCACTTTCTGGAGTAGATTACTCCATGTTTTGTCCCAAAAATATCCTACAATGCATTGCGTATACGGTATATGACGTAAAAGTTTCAGAGGTCTATTAAAAGTGCGCACAAGGTGAATGACCTGTGCCGTCTGTAAATGTGTGATCATACAGTACTTACCCGCTTTAAGAACCTGTTAGCCTAAAAATATCAATTTAGACCCCATTTACATAAGAACCTATTTAGCCTAAAATTTGAAACAGGTTCTTATGGAAAGTTTCTAAAAATTGGTTTTAAAAACATCTTCATGCAAAAAACATGAATCAAAAGTGGTGAACTTTAACATGTATAATACACTTCTAAATCTGGTATAAATAATGTTTGAATCTACTAAAATGGGACATGGTCACATACTGTCTAAAGGCCAGTCCTGTTTTGGCATTAAATTAATACACACGCCACCTTTCTAAAATTCACAGGTGTATAATATAATATTTCTCATTAAATAAGAACCTATTTAAGAACCTGCGTATCCTAAAATTCCACCATTTACATAAGATCCTGTTTAGGCTAAATTAGAAGAAATGGTTTCTTATAAGCGGGTAAGTACTGCAGTAGTCAAACAGACACAATTCACATGAAATGGAATTGGAGCGAACTAAAGTGTATCAGTGTAATATCCAAATGTATTTTTTTGACTTCGCTCTGACTAAATAATATCAGAGTGCGTTAACGCAATCATAAGCATAAATCATGATTTCTTTCGCTTATACACAAGAAACAAGACACAATTAGTGACTAACTGGATAGTGAAAGTAAATTATTTTTTAACAGCATCCATTCTAATTATCAAAATCTTACTTCTTTTGCAGTTCCAGTTCTTTACGAAGYGTCTTTTCTCTCTTGATTTTCCAAGCCTCCAGCCATGACTTCAGCCGGCTGACTGACGAGGCGTTCCCCATGACTTCGGATGAGCATTCAGGTTGATATTTTTCCGTCCATAGCAAATCAGCTTTCTTMTCATCGACCGACGCACGAGAATCTTCGGATTTCAGATCTTCCTTTGAAGGGASTGASTTCGCTTCAAGCTCACTTTCCATCGTTTTTCGCTTTTTACGTTTAGACGACTCTRGCTTGGTGTCATTTTGTGCTTCTTGCTCTTTGTTAAGTGTTCTGTCACCTCGCCTAGAAGATTTTCGTTTGGCATGACGACTTCGTTCTGCTTCTTCTTCGTCTTCTTCTCGTCCTCGTTTCTTCCTCGTTTGATCGGATACTTGGGTTTTGGCAACGTCTTCCKMCTTTTCCTCACTASCTTTTTCTTTRTCTTTCTTCCGTCGCGCCTTTTTAATCTGCTTTTCGTTGAGTTCTTCATCACTTTGAGTAGAAATYTTTCTCTTTGAACGTCCTCTTTTCGCAGGTTTCTCTKCTTGCACATCTTCAACGTCTTTGACMGACGACTCTCTTTCTTTTTCCTCCTTTATCTCTTTCTTGGCGGGCACACTTTCTTGTATTTCTGAGAGAGTTTCAGTYTGATATTCGTCTTGTTTAGTTTTGTACTGCTTGTAAAGTCTTCGCATTGGTACACCTRGGAAAAACMCTGATGTTTCCGATAGGCATTTCTTGACTACTGCAGGGCTTAAGGGATCTCTTTCCAAGTCATTAACCTTCCTGAGATTCTTTTTCAAAACAAYTTCTTCCGAAAGAGCASTAGTAAKTTTACCMAGTTTAAGCTTGCGACTTGKAACCTTTGGTWTGTCTGAAAGATTGAAAGATACAACGACGTTTTTATTATTATGRTTCTAATTGTTTGAATAAAACAGAACACCATTTTTATATTATTTGTTTCAAATATACGTCACAGCGGCCATCTTGGTTGAAATGGTTGAACTTCAACAAAGGATTTCTCACTAGTATCTMGTGTATAYTCAACCAGCCGYCWTCTTTTTTCTTTTGAATTTCTCAGGTATGATTGAAAACAAGCAATTCAATTCGACACAACGTACATCTGAACTTAARCTATAATCAACAGTAGAAGACATTTTGGSCTGCTTCTTAGGCCTTGTGTCCGTGAATCGTCTGGATTATTTCTATCGCTTCAAAACACATTTTTACATTGTTCTAGCGTCCTCAAGAGAACTAAAAACAATAGAACAACACTTTGGAGCGATTGAAACGATCATATGTATAAAGGCTTGAGTCGTTTTCGTATGAGTGAGAAACGGACGGTACTGTACTGTGACCGTAATCGCACTGTAACCAAATTCTAGTGTCTCATTGCTTCACAAAAATTGCGCAGGCCAGGTCCGGTAACTGTGCGGTAACCGTGCGGTAATTTCTACCGTACGTTTCCCACTCATACGAAATTGACTCTATTGGCTCKTTGTATTTTTAGTGAGATAGACTGATTTCACAACGCAAAACAAAAACGAAAAACAAAAAACAAARAAGACCAGCCTGTTAAAACTAGCTCAGTCCACAACCACATCCCCTACAGTATGGCACTGATTAAAATTATGTATGCTAATACCGACAGCGCACAAGTTGGTGCACTTTTTGAAAGGAGAAATATTGTACTACTGATAATTGGCCACATTATGTCCAGAGTTCTTGTAACAAAAAGTGTTGTTTTAGAATACAATTCAACAGCAATATCTTATGAAAAAACAATTCCACAAAATACGAGATGCAAAATACTGACAGTATTGCCTCGTTTGTCATTAATTAAGGCAACTTGTATGAAAAATTCTATAATGGACCAAGTGAATAAATTGGAGTTAATTATTTTGTGGTAATTATAACTTCAAAAGTGTTTCTTTAACATCACAGCGATTTGCACTATAAACGACACAACAACAAACACCTAACTTTAAAGACCATGTTTACCTGACAATGTCACCTCTTCTGCCACTGCAAACTTCTGATTCACTTTCCCTACATTTGATTGGTCCTCTTCACTCCACTGAGTCACATGACTTACAGTTGGCCATGGGGTAGGMTGCTGGTTAGCTWGCACTGCAGGCTTTTGAGCTGCCTTGATTGTTTTGCTGCTGGCAAAGAGAGCAAGGAAGGCTGTGTTGGCTGCCTTTAGTTCTTCTTCATTTAGCTGCTTTGWAGGCTGGGTTTTTRTTGGCTCTGTGGATGTTTTTGTTGCTGTTACTTCTAMWTCTTTTTGAGTAGTTTTGATGTCACTCTTTGCCTTTTCTTTGGGCTTTTGTTTTAAGAATATTGGAGCAAGCTTTTGAGGTGCTGAAGAATATGCAGTAAGAGATTACAATGTGAAAGCAATGTGTAGAAAAAATAGTCAACACAGTAAGTAATAGGTGAGGCAGTTGAATTGATAATAATAACAGTAAAATTTGTTTATAAAGCAATGGAAAGTGAGTGATTAAAAGCCTTTCGAGAGTTCTCCCAAACAATCCCTAGTGTCTCTTATAGACAATAGAAACACAGAAAATATCTTCTAAATATAACAAACAACTCTTCTCTTGAAATTCGTGTTTTCTATACTCTCAATGAATATAATTTACACATAATAGCTATAATTGTATAATAATATACTATATAAAACTAATTCTATTCAACACATGATGACATGAATATTCATAAYTCAATTAACTAAGGTTGAATTAGACSTCACAACTTTTCCCTAAAACCATCRCATRCAACCTGTAGTCATCCTTACAATATAGCTACAACTGTTGTAGKKATTTAAAAYTATTGCCRAATAGCYGTACGACAGTTGTGATGACTTATGCAGGTKGCTGGTTGTAGGMAAAAGTTGTGTTGTCTAATGTGGTCTACAAAAAGCTRCAACTCAATGAAAATTATTCATTKTATGACAACTCACCCAAAGATGTTTTTTCTGACTTCTTCTTTTCACTCTGGCAGGACTTCACCTCTGTAATATCAGGACTGGTATCTGAACCAATAACTAGAGTTACCTTCTTTTTGTCACCTGATGTTCCTTGCTCTTTATTTCTCGTGGCTTCCTTTTCCCTTACTGTTATGGCCCCTTTTTCTTTACTGGCAGAGACTCCTTTTTCCTTAATACCTGAGGTTTTTTCTTCCATAGTACCTGACGTCCCTTTTTCCTTACTGACTGAGTGCCCTTTATCCGTGGTACCTGAAGGTCCTCTTTTTTTAGTCCCTTGGGCTCCTTTTCTCTTAGCTGCTGAGACATCCTTTTCCTGATTGACTATAGTACCTTTCTCAGTGTCAATAACGGTTTGTTTTCTTTCTGCAGTCACTTTGCTCCCTTTCTCTTTCTTAAGCCTTTTGTCTTTGTTGCCTCCTTTCATATCCTCTAATTTTTCAGTCTCTTTGGTTTTTCTTTTCTTTTTATCACTTGTTTTTTTCTGCTTTTCTTCCCTTTTACTTTTCTTGATGTCAGTTTGTATCGGCTCATTCATCAAAGCATAATTTATACTGGATGTCCTCTTTCTCAGACCTTTTCTCATAGGAGTGATTTCAAAATCCTCAATACCAGGAGAAGTTAGAATGCTTCTGGTTTCATTAGACTTTGAATCATGCTTCTTAGTTGTTTTTTCTATTAGTTCCACGACACTGGAATTGCTTTCATCCTGTACCAAGATTGGGACATCTCTAGCAGGCAAATCTGTTGACTTCGGTGTCTTTCTTTTCTTCTTCATTACTTTTGTCATTTTATCTTTAGGCTCAACATTAGTTTGCCCTTGACCTCCCTCTTTGGCTGATATTTTCTCTGTGCTACTATCAGACGACTTTGATAGTTTTTTATCAACTAGTGTTGAATCTTGATTCTCCTCAAGTTTCTTCTTTTTCTTCTTTTCCTTCTTTGACATAGTCTTGAGTGGTCTCTCAGAATCTTCAATGGTTTTATCCAGTTCAATGTCACTACTGGCAGATTCACTGGCAGACTTTGAGTAGCGTATATTCAATTTAAAAGAATGTGGTTTATGATTGGATGTTTTTTGACTTTCAGCTTTTAGACTCTCATTTTCACTGCTTGATTTCTTCATCATTAAAATATCAAAAGCATTAGCTGTGTTAGTGTCACTAGTAGAGGACTTAGTAGGCTCTTGGCTGCCTTCTTCTTTATAATCAATGACTTCCATGGGACATTCATGGTCATTGACAGAGTCCTTTGACTTCAGTTGCTTTTCTTCTATAGGTTTAATAACTTCAGTAATCTCTAAGCTACATTCATTTTGATTAAATTTGGTATTTCTAGAATTGTTCATAAGAATTTCTAAAGCATTTTCCTTTTTCTGGAGTGTCTCTAAGGCATTTGATTTTGAACAATCAGTTTTGGCATGCAAGTTATCCTTGTGAGTTTTCTTAGACTTTCTCTTAGTATCTAAGGCAGGATAATCCTCATTGCTGCTGGGTTTCAATTCTTTAAGATTTCCTTCTTCTTTCTGTGTAATTTTGGACTCTTCTTGAATTAACATCTCTTTACTTTCCCTTAAACTTAATTCTTTATTTGGTTCTACATAAACAACATCTGTTGTCCCTTTGAGGTTTTTCTTCTTTTCTTTCTTCTTTGGCTTTTTTAGTTCCATATTTTCCTCGCTGCAATTTCCAATTTGATCTTTCAATTTTAGTCTATTATTCTGCTCAAAGTTATCCTCGGTAATCTCTTCAAATACAGATTCAGTTTCATCATGTTTGGAATTTTTGGTACCTTTCAAAGTCAGTGACCACTTGGGCATAGCTTTCTTAGTTGAAGTGTGGACCTTCTTTTCTTTTTTTGATGGATTTGAAGTTGTTTGTCTTTCTTCACCATCTTCACTTTCTTGTTTAGTCTTCTTTTCAGTGAATTTGTCTACTGGCTTACTAACATCTTGTTTTTTGTCAGGAGGTGAAGGAAGGAAGAATTTTCTGATATTATTACTGCTAGCAGGTCTTTCAACCTTTTCTGGATTGGATTTGAAGAAGTTTTTAATGGATGGTGATATTTTTTTCTTGTTTTTACTCTCAAAGCTCTGCAGAATAACATACTAATTAATAATAATAATTTCTTTATTTCACATGCGGTTATATGATCAAATTTGCCTAAATGTTCAAATTTACTCAAGAACAGAAATTATAAACAACAAAGTAGAACTTATCAAATTCATTAATAATTCATAAAAGGTAAATACAATGGAAAATCATTCCCGCTCATATTTTATATGCTACATATTTAAGAATCCTAACAGGCAAGGGGGTGAACCAGTTGGCTATGTTATAAGCATGGCCAAGAAACTGAATACAYGTATAAACTAATTTTAACTGGAAAGATATGAATATGAGGACCGCACGGCACTACGATAGACACGATATGGAAATGAAAGAAAGTTATAGTGCTTTTAGAAGGAGGCAATTCCGGGAGAAATTGATTTATCCGAATTTATTCCTTTCTCCCGGAATTGCCTCCTTCTAAGCACTATAACTATCTTTCATTTCTATAATTTAAACTGGAACAAGTTCAGTCTCAGCTGATGTTCAGACCCAGGAGTTGAACCTGTGAATGCAAGATTACGATACCACCGCTCTGACCAGTCTACCATGCTAAACCCCATCGACATGGACAAGATTACTAACAACTTATAATAGACATTTTCAATGCACTACATAGTCAAGGAACATTGCCTCCTGTAGCAGTGACTCCATAGAAGATTCTCAACTGTGAAAATATAACAGCTATTAGACTACAGCCTGGCCAAGTAATGAAACTACCATAGTTTTAATACTTATTAAATCTTCTTGGTAATGGTCAAGGTATCATCTAACCCACTTACATGTATTTACCAGTGTCATAGGGATAACATATCAGAAATAGGCATTGGTAGAAAGTTTGGTATCTATGGATAAAATGCTAATAAAAGTAGGAATAAAAATACAAGGATTTTTATGACATTATTTTCAGGCCTTTGTAACATGTTTTGATGTTTTTTTTACCTCTTCTAGCCATTATAACTTCAGGAGAATTTCATATTTTCCAGTAAAACTTTAAGAAGTTAACTTTCAAAGATTTGATATTTATCATTTGAATATTTCATAGCTGTCAACCCCCTGGACTTTTCAATTCTGGAAATTYGTGAAATCATGATTTGGGCTTCCTGTGGTGAACTATGTAAGTACGTGACRAGTATATATAAGTATAAAATCGCTATTCAAAAAATTGCTTTTATATTATAAGCAGTCACATCTTAGGTACGTCTTACATTAATACATTACCATATTTTTACAAGTTTGACTATTATCCAGGAGATATCAACCTTTATCTGGGAGACCGGGAGACAAGGTTCAAATTCTGGAGACTCACGGATAATCTGGGAGGGTTGACAGCTATGGTATTTTTTTTTTTTTAAATACTTCTGAAAGTAATACTGAATCTATTACAAACAAGTTGTCATGGTGATTGTAGATTGCATGACAAAAAATCCATGGAATTGACAATTATTGATAGCTATGTTTGACACCAATAGGAGTCAGCCATTACTTGTCGTAGTAAATATCTTTTATGACRATTCATTATTATTATTGTTTTCGTTGTTGTTTTTTTAGCTTTTTTTCACAAGGAGAGTGAATATTAAGCATACAGATTTGAAGACCCACTACAGTAACTTTCAAGTGCATTTCTTGTTCTGATCCAATCTTTTTTGAAATACATGTAGAGCTATATTTTGATGTTATGACTAGGCTAGTAAACTGCTTCCATTAAATTAAATCATGAGGGKTTTTTTCAATACAAATCTGAACAATATTTGTACACACTAAGCTTTAAGTTATTATCACCTTAAAACATTTATAAAAAGCTTAAGCTTATAACTTATATCACGTAGAGTTTATGCTAGCATTCATGTTTTTATTGAAAACAAATTATCAGTATTCGTTATTTTCAGTGAATCGTTTTTCGGCATCAACATTTTTATGAAATGAAACTAATTATCAAAAAGAACAGCTATGATATTTAGGTAAATAATAGAAAAAGAATACGTTTTATCAGAGATTTAAGAATAACTTAACAAAATGGCAGCAAGCAATCAATCGATACAAAGAAATCTAAGTTTGACTTTTTTGAACGAGTGTTTCGAACACCTTAATTTTCGACATGTAATTCTTACAAGAAACATCCTCTCTTGTAGTATGATGAACTTTAAAAGACATTAATATTTATCGATGATTTTAAACAATCTTACCTTGTCGATATCTCTACTTTCCATGGCGGCATTGCCATGATCTTCCAAGCCAAGCATTGCCGACATCGGCACCCAAATATGCTAATTTGTCACACAGGGAAGCATGATGATTTTCTTGTCGATGTGTTCCTACTTAATTTCACCGCTTTAGGTCGGAAATATTTGAAAAAACTGGCAAATTTGCAGCAGCTTCAACAGCTTTTGTTTAGATTTTGGATTTCTATTTTTTCCCGCGCAATTTTTTYGTGAGCCCGCAGTTTGGATTGGAACCGAGTCCCTCTCGATCGATATRCAAAATGGCGTCTTGAGTGGAGTGATGGAGAAGGAAATGTCTCGGGAAAAATGGAAAAGAAAAATGTATTTTCACGATTTTTGTCTAAACTAAAGAGTGGAACAAGCTCTAATGTTGAAGAACTGTCTGGTAGGTTTCTGTCACTCGTTCGTGATTTACCGCTTTGTGGAGAAACACCTTGGAAGCTTCGTGAAGTCGAAAGACTTCTTGCCCAGGGAGCACCAATARCTGCACGAACCTCTCAAGATCACYGTACAGCACTTCATTYKGCATGTCGAAATAAGGATTTAGCTACCTCGGAATTACTCATTCGTCTTGGAATTAACGTAAACGCCGAGGATTTGAATAAGTCAACAGCGATGCACCTTGCWGTCGGTAACTCAYCAGTGAATTCGGCCTTGATAAGACTACTTCACGAAAATGGCGCGAATTTGAACGCTGTTAACAGATCTAAGGAAACACCTTTGYACCTAGCAGCAATGCTAGAAGACCCCTCTTGTGCTAGAACTTTAATATCTCTGGGTGCAGATTTATACATGTGTTCAACACCTGAGAATAGTATAGCTGCTTGGCCAGCTAATAGGCCTCTTATGTATGCTGTGAGGTCWGGTCGATTAGCAACAATTTTGCTGCTGTTGCAGGCAGGTGGTTCCTTTGAGGATTTTTGTCCTCGAAGGTTGCTTTCTTATGGATATTCGAGATGTATTCATTTTAAAATAATACAGCTCTTTGTGGAAGCTGGTCTAAAGGTCCCAAAAGATTTTTTTATCACAGAGATGGAAAGCTTTGAAAGTTGGCCAGACAGCTTAAAGGAATGGCTATGCAATCCTYTGCCATTGCAGGTTTTATGTAGGAAAAAGATAAGAAAATGTATAGGRGGTTCGAATTTAGAAAAAAAAGTATCTCAACTTTGTCTTCCCRTGAAAATGAAGAAAAGACTTCAGTATGACATAGAAAGCTTTGACCTTGATGTGAAATGCAAAACAAGTAGCCAAAATAAGACAGATTTGTTTTATTCATTTAATATTTATGGRCACAAGGAATTTTACAGTTAAAAACATCCACAATATGGATGTTCATGTGTGATGACATAGTGGATCAATTACAGTACATGAGAGGAGCTGACGGGTTCCTGGGAGAAAAATATATCTTCTTATGTCCCAGGCAGCTGTAAGTCACAAGTGGTTGTCAGTGAGAAATTCAGAAAAAAGAACTCTCCAGGCCAGGAATACTTTCTAAGAATTTTTGCCAAGAACATAAAAAGTTCCTAACTAAAAAAAATATAAGACCTATTTGACCTTTTAAAAAACTTTATATAAGCCTTTTTTGACCTTTTTATAACGTTTGCCAGGAACAAATTTATTTTAAGGGCGGCACATTTGCTTGTGAGATTGTCAACAATATAGCTCAAAATCCCTTTCCCAGAAAAAAAATCGTACAAGAGAGCAATTATTTAGTCTTAGAAGAACAGAGCCCTTCGGCTCCTGTTWTTTCAGAAAACGTTTATGCTGAAGCTAAAGTGTTAATCTAAATGTATTGTCCGTTGTTTTGTGACTGTTTTCGTGGTTTCAGAGTTATAATTCCATCTCCAYACAGTTAAGACCTTCTATGGAAGCAATTAAGTTAAAATTGTTACGATTTTGCAATGCAGCTAATGAGACGTGGCGTTTTTAAACGATGCATTGTGGTCTTAGAATGTACAATGCAGTATACAATACTCAGTATCAAACGTTTTCTAAAATAGCTGTATATATATACACCTACTTGCAGAAATGTCATAGAAAATGGAACATTTGAATTTTAAAAAGGAATAAAGTAAAACAAGATAAAAGAAAGCGTTAAGCCTCAGTGATCTTCTTTTGTCTTTTTGATTTATTCCTTTTTACTAAATACAAATGTCCTATTTTCTATGACAACCTTTTTGCAAGTAGGTGTATGTGGAGATCCTATAATATCACATGTTGTCACACTATTTCTGTGTAAAGAAATTTGTGGCACAGGATCTTAAATCGCATTGCATTATGGGGGTGTGGTGCTAGAGTAAAGAAAGGTCATAGCTTTATAAAGAGATTTTGGCCTTTAACTATTTGTTCCTAATTTTATATCTGTCTTGCATATTCTTCGCTTTGCAAATCAGTTTGTGATGTATTGAATCTTAATTATCTCAGTCCAAAGTATACCTGGGAACTTGAAGTTCTCAGCTTCGAAAAGTTATAGAATTGTTGAAATATTTTTAGTGACTCTTCGTCAGATTGTAAAAAGATTGTAAATAGCTTCATGAAATTTTAAAGTCGAGAATGAGTCAATAAAACTGCGACATTACTGATATTGGTCGTAACTTGAAAGTGAATTTATTTTCTGCAATGCTGCACCTGACCAACTTCTTTCCGTCATGTTAGGTTTYCTTGTTGATAAACTCTTCTCCGTCATTCCAATATTTACCGACAGACTTCTGCTTCTTTTAGGACGCAAATCACTTCTTTTTTTGTTCCTTGTTGTTATTTCTTTTCCATTTGTCTTATTGGTTTATAAACCTCTATTATTTTACTATTTGCTCAACTATGTGGAAATAATAATCATTGAAGTCCTCGCTGATGATGAAAGACAGCTGCTTGCAAACGATGTCCAAGTCGCTGAAAAGGAATGGAGATTGTATCAGTTTGAATGGYGCTATGGGCAACGGTGGTGTAAAGACAATRATATCAAATCTAGAYCGGACTGGACATGGYTGACMGCGATGGTGAATGATGATTATGCTGTRCCAGCTCTAGTGCTTGGATACTCGTTACAAAAGCTCTCTTGTCAGARGAATATGCTGGCTTTGGTGTCTAAAGACGTGTCAAATTCTGCTAAAGAAGCACTTGAGAAGGTAGGTTGGACTGTAAAAGTAGTTGAAAGGCTTGATTGTGACTGGATTGAGAGACAAAAGGGACTTCCTGAGTCACATATGGGCTATATAGGAACCCATACAAGRCTTCATGCWTGGAATTATACTCAGTACTCYAAGATTATATATGCTGACCCAGATTACATGCCGATGACCAGGATAGATGAGTTRTTTGAGATMGATGGTGACTTTGCTGCAAGTTCTTGCTCAAGACCTGGAATACTTGATCCTTGTTTTAATGCTGGTTTGTTGGTATTTCGACCTGGTACCAACTACTATAATGAAATCATGGACCTTTGGTGGAAAACTACAGATGATCATTGTCCAAATGACCAGGTTCTATTATGGCATTACTATGTAAATGCAGGGAAGTGGACCCAACTACCTTACTCYTACAAYGTAMGACGTCTTGYATTCCGTCCAATGAAGGCATATCATTTTGCATGTTGTATTCCACCTAAACCATGGTCAGCAAAGTGTCGTCCAAACAGAAGGGAAGCAAAAATGTATRACAAACCCATCACAGAAGTTGAAAGCCTGGCAAYAATATTTTGGAAGATTTTATATGAAKTACTTGAGGAGCGTCGTATTGATGATTGGTGGAAGACTACAAGATTTTATAGAGAGAAACAGGAATATGGAAAAGTGACTGCTGCACAATGCTGGGGGACTTCAAAGAAGTTTGTTAGGAATGGATCCCTTAGTTAACATCAGTTTATGCAAAGAAAAGTGACTAGTGACTGGCCTCAAACTACTCACGAATGGGCAAAGAGCGCCGCTGCACTAAGAAATCAAACACTACTTTTTTTCTTTTCATTTTTCTTGTTTTTCCTTTTCTTTTCATGCAAACTCCTTTGATAGTTGACTAATGTCCACGACATTATTTCTGAATAAAAATGGTGTTTTTTAATGGTGCTTTTTCTTTTTTTTCTTCCTTGTGGAATAAAATTATCATCAAGGTCCGTTTTACTCAGACCTTAAAATCACCAATCTACTCTGAGTCGAGTTTACAAAAATAACACATTCGTTCAGTGACGATGGACGGCATCTTCTTGCTTGCCGAACACGAGAAATTGCCTCGATTCCACGAGTAAGAAAAAAATCGTACCTGCGTCGGCCCATAGAGTGATCGCACTTAAACCGGGTAACTATACAAAATATAAGTAGTACTAATTTGTACTAAAAGTGGACCTGAAGCAAGACGCTATTGAATGCCTCATTTGTATCTATTCAATTTAAATTGCGTAACACGTGCGCGATTTACTAAATACATGCAACTAAATAGCACTATTTAGTTTGTACAGTTGCACGCTTTAAAGTGCAACTGAACCCTACTAGAAAGTCATTTCATTCGAAAGAGAACATGCTGCTAAGGGACTGTGCAATAATTACCAGTAGGGGGACCCGTAAAACCAGATTTCTTAAGCAGAATATTAGTTAGAGCCTCCCCCCCTCTGAAAAATAGCTCTTACCCCCCCTGCTATATTAGATATAACGTCGAGTCAACTTATATCTTC